CCCCGCCCCTCCTCCCCAGCCCGCACCCCTTCCTCGGACCCCCGCCGGATGGCAGCCGATCCGAGGGGGCCCGCAGGGGTCCTGAGGACAGCAAACAAGCTCGAAAGATGCCCTTTCCCCCAGAGGGGCGCAGACGGTCCAGCATCCGTTCAGAAGTTTGGAGCAGAATCCCAGCAAGTCGGGGAGCTGGGCCGGCCCCGTTCGTGGGGTGGTGGTAGTGGTGGTGGTGGGAATTTCCGTCGGGATCTTTGGCCTCAGAGGTATTGCGTGGAACGGGGTGGGGGTGGGGGACACCAGGGGACCTACAACTGGAGGGTGAGGGCTCAACTTTACTAAGGCCGTGGGCAGGGATGCTAGAAAATAATAGGATATCCAGAAAGCATTACTCTCTCCTGCAACCTCCCTCTCGAGTCTTCTTTAAAGCACTTAACATTAGGTGTCTCATAAAAGGAACCAGATTTTATCCAGACGATTATACCATCTTTTAAAACAGCCTCTGAGTGGATCCCTTGAACTTTGGCCACTCAGTGAGCTCTGTGAGCTTGAGCAAGTTTCCTAAGCTCTCTGTGCCCAAGTCTCCTGTCAGTAAAATGAAATAACGTTTTGTAGGAGTATGGTGTTGAATAAATTGATTTATGTAAAAATGCTTTAAGCTATGCATGGTTCTTCAAGTTCAGTACCATAAGAGTAGAATTACTGTTTGTTTCTTTGAGAAGATTAGTTCAAGTTGGGGTTTATGCTGCTGCCCTGTAATACTAACAATGAGGAGGCTGACGCAGGAGGAGCTAGAGTTGGAGGCCAGGTGCATATATAACAGTAACATAGTAAAACAGTTTCCTTTTTCATTGGTTTTGTGGTACTAGTAATGGAACCCTGGACCTAGAGCACCCAATGCAAGCGCACTACCACTTGAGCTTCACCTTTTTTTGTTGTTTCGTTTCGAAACAGGGTCTCCAGGTGGCTCAGGCTGGCCTTGAACTCAGTAAAAGTGCTGGGATTAAGGGCATGTACCACCATGCTAATGAGACCCTGTTTCAAAGAAAAAGACTAATTGATCCACAGGAATGGAATAATTCTTACTACTTTACTTTCTTCTTTATAATAGTATAGCAAAGTTCTAATTCATTAGTTCAGAAAGAAAATTTAGATTCTGAAGATTCCTGTTAATCCCTATGTTTATGGAAGCAGTATCATATTGTTATTTGAAATATATCTACACTATTTTTCATATAAAGCCTCACAAATGATTTTTTTTTGTTTTTTTTTTTTGCCAGTCTTGGGACTTGAATTCAGGGCTTGGACACTGTCCCTGAGCTTCTTTGGCCCAGGCTTAGCACTCTACCACTTGAGCACAGTGCCACTTCCAGCTTTTTTTGTTTATGTGGTACTGAGGAATTGAACCCAGTGCTTCATGCATGCTAGGCAAATACTCTACCACTAAGCCACATTCCCAGCCACAAAAGATACTTTGTGAGGTGGTATAAGCCTAAAAGTTACTTCAGTCACTGCTAGTTGAGTACTTTTCCTTTGAAGTGGGGGAAATTATGCTATCTACACCCATAGCATATACCTGTAGAAATGGGTTTAGATTAAGAAGAGCCACTGTATCTTAAACTACATTTATAAATCAAAGGAATTGATAATTCTTTGAAAATGTAAAAAACGAAGTGACTTAGTCATTCTAGTAAATTTAAAGACATGTCAAAAATACTTTGGGGGGGCTGGGAAGGTGGCTCAGTGGTAGAGCGCTTGCCTTGCATGCATGAGGCCCTGGGTTCGATTCCTCAGCACCACATAAGCAAAATGAAAAAAAGAAAAAAGCCGGAAGTGGCGCTGTGGCTCAAGTGGTAGAGCTCTAGCCTTGAGCTGAAGAGCTGAAGGACAGCACCCACGCCCAGAGTTCAGGCCCCAGGACCGGACCCCCCCCAAAAAAAAAAAACAGAACATATACTTTGGGAAAAATTCAGTGAGATTATTTTATGAAATGTTGACGACAGAGGAAAAAGCTGAATTTTCAAATCAATATTATATCATGTGATTTTTAAATATATTTAATTAATGTAACATAGTGGACTGAATCAGATTGATTCTGTTATCTCTGTTATCAAAAGGTTGTTTTTTTTTTTTTGTTTTTTGGTCCGGTCGGTCGTGGGGCCTGAACTCTGGGCCTGGGCGCTGTCCCTCAGCTCTTCAGCTCAAGGCTAGCGCTCTACCACTTGAGCCACAGCGCCACTCCCAGCTTTTTTCTTTTTGCTTATGGGGTACTGAGGAATTGAACCCAGGGCTGCATGCATGCAAGGCAGGCGCTCTACCACTGAGCCACCTTCCCGGCCCCTCAAAAGGTTTTTATTCAAGTTGACCCAAATAAACTTTTTTTCCTCCTCTCATGGGAGGTGGGAGGATTGTCTAACATTCCTATATTTTAAAGTAATAGTCAAAGTGGGTCTGAACTTGATCTGGAAGAAATGTAGTGAGAACCTGCCCAGGTGCATCTATAACATAATTTATATGGTCATTTAAGTTCAAGGCTGTGGTTACCTCGACTGACTGGGGGGTGGCCAAATTAACCTCATTTCCTTTTTTTGACAGGATTAATTGGTTCATTAGAGAGATGCCTTGGGTTTGATTTGAAATCTGATGCAATTAGATTTCACTAGAGTGTATTTCAGAGAATTATGTCTAGTGGTCAGAATGGAGAAATGTGAGCTAGGTGAGAGTGGTTAGAATTTGATTATCAGTCTAAACAACTGTATCTGAAGAATGATGAATTATAATCCATCATCAACTCTAAAGGGAGCCCTTTAAGGCCCTGCTAAAAATATATGTCCTTGTTTATCAGTAAACTGGATGAAGTTCTTTTTAATTTATGAATGGCAGAGTTAAGTGAAAGAGCTAATATATTTTGAAAGGTAAAATCCAAAATTTTTCTTGATGTGAAGTCAAGTCAGAACTCAATAGTGTAAACACTTTAAAAAAATATTGAAAGCTGCTTGTAATACTTGTAATCTCTGTTGAATTTAAAAGTCTTAAAGAAGATTGCTGAATCTTGAAAACCTTTTGGTATACAGAGATTGGCAATTATCAGCTCCTTAGGGGATTTATTCTCCAAACCCTTGCTATTTCACAGTGTATCTATAGAACATTTGTAGTAATCTGACATTACATTTTCTCTCTTAGGTTACTTCCAACATAGAACTCTACTACTTTCAGTGCTCATTTTCTTCTTTTTAAATTGATTTTCCAGTTGCAAGCAGCAATGCTCAAACTTTTTGTTGAGCTCATTCATATCTCATAATTCTTAGCGTATTCAGAGTGCCCTTAATTCCTCTAGTCAATACCACAGACTTTTCTCATTTTTTTCCTCTGTGTTCTCTTTTCTTAGGCCTTCACCTGTTCTTTCTTGTTTTGAGGTGCTTGTTTTTGTTTTTGTTTTTTGGTCGTGGGGCTTGAACTCTGGGCTTGAGTGCTGTCCCTGTGCTCTTCAGTGCTCTACCGCTTGAGCCACAGTGCCAGTTCGGTTTTCAAGTGGTTTATTGGAGATAAGAGTCTCATGGACTTTCCTGCCTGGGCTGGCTTTGAATGGAGATCCTCAGATCTCAACCTCCTGAGTAGCTAGGATTATAGGCGTGAGCCACCTTCGCCTGGCTTGTTTTGTTTTTTTGAGACAGGTTCTTGCTGTGTAGCCCAGGCTGGCCTCCAGTTGCTGGGATTATAGGTGTGTACCATCACATCCCACCCACCTGTTCTTAGTTAGTGCTCATTTCCCCCACCCCTTGGTGGCATGTCCAGTTTTTTTCTTTTCATTTTCTTCACTTTTATGTAAGAAAAGTGTGTTTCTCTTTATGTAAAACTTAACTTGCCTGCTGTTTCTGTCTCAAACTCTTGCCTTTTCTGTGTTCATTGTTAAGAGTTCTTGGAAGAGCAGCCCCTACTTGGTTTGTCATAATTTACCTTTGTCATACTTTTTCCTTAATTTGTCCCACCCATTTTTATTGAAGCTGTCATTTTTTTTTATCCTTTGACATGTGTGCTATTCTGGGGTTGAGGAGCT